AATCGCATTCGAATTGGCTCAGTTTCCTGAACGAAATGCACTCTGGAGTTCAAGCACCCTAGTTCGAGAAGCTCACACAGATGATGAGAGTGTTTTTGTGTTTCAAACTTACTGGCTGTTGTGTCCGTCGCTTTGTGGAAAGCAATGACAGTATATGAATAATTGTGCATGTAAGCCGACTAAATTCGGAAAATTATGTGTAAAACCAGTCGACGACGGTAGTGTGCTGCCCTCATGGATTTCGGCATTGCAGGTGGCCTGTGCATACATTCGGCGGGCTTCGACTCGTTTGGAGAAGTATTTGTCGCCGCTGCCGACCCGTGTGTGGGTCTGTTTGTCGGTGTTGCAACTTCCCTCATCAAATTCAACTTCTGCCAGAGGTAGTGACGTGGTATGACGCACCAAACTAAATTTAGTATAAGATACACACTTGCAAACTTAATATAGGCAGCTAAAATTTACACTGATTCCGCTCTTTAGGACTCTCATCGAAATCGCATTCGATTTGGCTCAGTACCTGAAGGAAATTCACTCTGGAGTTCACGCACTCTAGTTCGAGAAGCTCACACAGATCATGAGAGTGCTTTTGTGTTTTAAACTTACTGGATGTTAAGTCCGTACCTTTGTGGAAAGCAAAGATATTATATGAATAATTGTGCATGTAAGCCGACTATATTCGGAAAATTATGTGTAAAACCAGTCGACGACTCTAGTTTGCTGCATTGGTTTTTTTCGGTTTTGCAGATGGCCTTCGCATATACTCGGTGATGGCCTTCGCATATACTGGGCGGTGTTCGACTCGTTTGGGGAATCATTTGTCGCTGAAGTCGACCAACGTTTGGAACGAATTGACGGTGTTTAATATATCCCCAAAATACTCGCCTTCTGGAAGACATAGTGTCGAGGTATCACGCACCAAACTAATTGTGGTATAAGATACACACTTGCAAACGTAATACAGGCTGCAAAAATTTACATTGATTCCGCTGTTCAGCGCTGTCATCGAAATCCCATTCGATTTGGCTCAGTTTCCTGAACGAAATGCACTCTGGAGTTCACGCACTCTAGTTCGAGAAGCTCACACAGATCATGAGAGTCCTCCTGTGTTTTCAACTTACTGGATGTTAAGTCCGTAGCTTTGTGGGAAGCAATGGCATTTTCTGAATGATCGTGCATGAAAGCCGACTAAATTCGGAAAATTATGTGTAAAAACAGTCGACGACTCTTGTGTGCTGCCCTCATGTATTTCGCAATTGCACATTGACTTCGCATGCATTCAGCGCGCTCCGACTCGTTTGAGGAAATATTTGACGGTTGTGTAGACCAGTGTGTGGGACGATTTGTCGTTATTGAATCTATCCTCAACAAATTCGCTTCTAGCCTACCTAGTGACGTGTTATCACGCCCCAAACGAATTGTGGTATAAGGTACACATTTCCAAACCTAATATAGGCTGCTAAAATTGACGCTGATTCCGCGGTTCAGCGCTGTCATCGAAATCCCATTCAATTTGGCTCAGTTTCCTGAACCAAATACAATCTGGAGTTCACGCACTC